GCTGCATTGCCAGGTTTTTCTTTTCGTTTTAAAGAGAGTCTAGATAGAGTCTTTGCCAACATCCATTGCAGGCTATCGGGATTTAAACAGAGGCCAGATGGACCTTCAGCCAGGACCAGAGAGTAGCTCTGGCCAGAAGGCTTCAGTTGTTCTTTCAGCTTATCTAAATCCACTCAATGGCTCTGACTGAATGCACAGCAGGAAAAAGAAACAGGTTGTTCATCTCCATAGTTGGGGGACTCACCTTCCTGAGGTATCAGATCCTACAGCTGTGTACCTGTTCGAGACAGTTGTGGGCCCCTGTTCCAGAGGGTGTCCCGCAATGATCTCCAGCAGGACTGAAGACAGGGCACGAGCAGGGAGCTGCTGCCTGCACCCACATCTTTGCTGTCCTCCAGCGCCACTTGGTTCAGGAGGTCCAGGCCAGGGGAGTGCGAGCAGGGAGGGTCCGCTGCTGCCTCTGCCACTGCCTCCACCCATGTCTCTGCTGTCGCTGCTGGGTTGCTCCCAGGTGCTGAACTCGTCTCTCCTCACTGAGCCAGTCTGGTCCAGGTGAGGCGCTGGCTAGCTAGTGATGAAGAGAGGGTCCCGAAGGCTCTTCCCAAGTGTTATAGCTCTAGTGTTACAGCTCTTGCAACAGAAACTCTCAGACAATGGGATGATTTTCACACAACTTTACTTCTCCTGAATAGAAACCTTATATACAGTTTTGGGGTGGGTTAAGGTCTGGCAGCAGATAACGCCTATTGGCTTGGTCTGAGAACGTGGAGATACCTCATCTACGTGTGGGAAAGTCTGAGGCACTGTTCCTCTTGATTGATGGCTCTCTGTGGGAGAGGCTGTGGAGGGCTGAAGCTAAAAGAAATAACCAGGGACTGGGCAGCTGAACACCTGCTATCTGATAAGGGACTGGGGTTTGAGGCCTATGCTCAACCAGGCACCCAGCTGCTTCTCACAGCCCACAGCCCGACAGAGATGACCTCTCCAGATTCCATATATCCACTGCTGTGATTCTCAACTAACATCATCAGCATTGATTCCTGTATGTCTCTTCTGCAACAGGTCTCTGGAATGACCTTGAGATGGAACACATCCTCCATACTCCACCAATTGTAGCTGTAAATTTCAATGAATTCTCCTGTCCCTCCTGCCCTCTCTCTCATCTTTCCCAACACCAGATCCCAAACCTCCTTACATTCCCTTCCACAACCCCTCTCCCATCCAGTTCTGCCCCTCCATCTAAGTTCTATGGCTATCTTATTTCCCATTCTAAGTTAGCTTCAAGCATCTTTACTTGGGTCTTCCTTGTTTAGACTTTTTAGATCTATAGAGTAGAGTGTTAGTATCCTGTATTTTATAGCTAATATCCACTTGTGAGTTCATGCCAAGCATGCCATTTTAGGCCTGGGTTTGATATTGTGAAGTTACATCCACTTGTCAGAAAATTTCGTGATGTCCTTGCATTTCCCTGATGACTAAGGACATTGAACATTTCCTTAAGTGTGTCTCAGCCATTCGAGATTCCTCTGCAGAAAATTCTCTGTTTAACTCTGTACCCCAATTTTAATTAGGTTATTTGAGCTATTAGTGACTAATTTCTTCAGTTGTTCATATATTTTGAATATTAACCCTCTGTCAGATGTACTGTCAGTGAAGATGCTTTCCCAGTCTGTAGGCTGTTGTATTGTCTTATTCATTATGTCATTTGCATTACAGAAGATTTTCAGTTTCTGGAGGTCCCAGTTATCAATTGTTGATTTTGATCCAGAGTCATTGATGTTCTCTTCGGGAAGTTGTATCCTATATCAATCAATTACATACTATCCCTCACTTTCTGTTCAGTTAGATTTAGTGTATGTGGTTTTACACTGCAGTCTTCCATCCACTTGGACATGAGTTTTATGCAGGGTTGATTGATATGGATCTATTTACATTCATCTACATGCAGACCACCAGTTAGACAAGCACCGTTTCATTTTCCATTGCATGATTTTGCTATCTTTCTCAAAAATCAATTGTCTGTAGGTGTGTGGGTTACTTTCATGGTCTTCAGTTGAATTACATTGATCAATTTGTCTGTATATCAATGCAAACAGTTTTTGTTACTATTGCTCAGTAGTAGAGCTTAAGGTCAGGATGGTGACATCTCCAGAAGTTCTTTCTTTCTTTCTTTCTTTCTTTCTTTTTTTTTCAGAAGTTCTTTTTCATTGTTCAGGATTGTTTTAACTATCCTGGGCTTTTTGATTTTTACATACGAAGTGAAGAATTGCTCTCTCAAGGTCTGTAAAGAATTACACTGGAAATTTTATGTCAATTGCATTGAATACGTAAGTGGCTTTTGTTAAGATGACCATTTTAATTATGTTAATTTTATTGATCCATGACCATGGAAAATGTTTCCATGTTCTGATATATTTCTCAAGTTCTTACATTGAAGTTCTTGTTATATAGCTTTTTCATTTGCTTGGGATAGATTTATGCCAAGATATTTTATATTAATTTGTGACTATTGTAAAGGGTTTTGTTTCCCTACTTTCTTTCTTTGCTATTTTATCATTTGTATAAAGGAGGACTATTGATTTTTTTCGTTAATTTTGTATCCAGACATTTTGCTAAAGGTGTTTATCACATATAGAAGTTCTCTGAAAGAATTTTTGTGGTTGCTTATGTATAGTAACATACCATCAACTAATAGTGTACTTTGACTTTTTCCTTGCCATTTTGTATCTCTTGATCACTTTCTGTTGTCTTGTTGCTCTAAGGAGCACTTCAAGTATGATTGGAATTGATAGGGAGAGAGTGTGCAGTTTGTCTTTTCCCTGATTTTAGTGTAATTCTTTAAGTTTCTTACCATTTAATTTGATGTTGGCTAATGGCTTGCTGTATGTTGCTTTAATTGTTTTTAGGTTTGCCCCTTGTGTCCCAGATCTCTCTAAGATTTTTAACATGAAGGAGTGTTGTATTTTGTCAAAGGCTTTTTCACCATCTAATGAGACGTCATATGATTTATTTTCAGTTTGTGTATATGGTGGATTAAGTTGTTGAAGTTTTTTTATATTGACCCATTTCTGAATCCCTGGGATGAAGCATACTTGATCATGGTGAATGATGTTTTTCATGTGTTCCTGGCATTGGTTTATGGGCATTTTATTGACTATTGTTACATCAATGCCCATAAGAGAAATTGGTCTGATATTCTCTTCATTTGTTGAGTTTTTGTGTAGTTTAGGTATCAGGGTGCACAGAATGAGTTTACCAATGTTCCATTGTTTCTATGTTTTGGAATAGTTTGAGGAATATTGTCAATAGATCATCTTTGAATGTCTGGTAGAATTCTGCACTAAAACGATCTGGCTCTGGAGTTTTCTGTTGGAAAAATTTTGATGACTGCGTCTATTTCCTTAGGGATTATTGGGCTGTTGAAATAGCTTATGTGGTCTTGATTTATCTTGAGCAAGTGTCATCTAACTAGAAAATCTAACTAGAAAAATTTTGGTACAATTTTCCAATTTTGTGAAATACAGGCTTTTAGACTTAGTAATTCTTTGAATTTTCTTATTGTCTACTGTTATGACTTCCTTTTCATTTCTGATTTTGTATATTTTGATACTGTCTCTCTAGCTCTTGGTTTGTTTGTGTAGAGTTTTCATTATCTTGTTGATTCAAAGAACCAGCTCTCGGTTTCCTTGATTCTTTTATTGATCTCTTTGTTTCTAATTGATTGATTTCAGGCATGATTTTAATTATTGGCTGCCTTCTAATACTCCTCAATGTATTTGTTTCTTTTCTCTAGAGCTTTCAGATGTATGTTTAAATTGCTGGTATGGGAACTTTTTAATATCATTATGGAAGCACTTAGGGCTATTAACTTTCCTTTCAACACTACTTACATTGTGTTCCATAAATTTAGGTATTTTGTACCTTCATTTTAGTTGAATTCTAAAACATCTTTTATATCTGTCTTTATTTCTTTCCTGACTCAGCGATTATTGTGTAGGGAGTTGTTGAATTTCCATGAATTTGTACACTTTCTGAATTTTCTGTTGTTGTTGAAGTCTCACTTAAATCCACAGTGGTCTGATACCATACAAAGCATTATTTCACTTTTCTTGTATCTGTTCAGGTGCTTTAGGACTGATTGTATGGTGTATTTTGGAGAACGATCCATGAGGTTCTGGGGAAAAGATATATACTTTTGCATTTGGGGGAAACATTATATATATACATATATATATATATATATATATACATGCTATGTCCATTTGACTCAAAATCTTTATTACTTTCATTATTTCTCTGTTTAATTTTTTTGTCAGTTGTTATGTGCTTCTCCTTCCAAAGTCTGGTGGGAAATTCTTTTTCTTGAATCTGTTTTTCTATTTAGGATCCAGTAATCAGACCATTACCCTTCACTCAAGAAGGCTCTTGGCATCCTTTATTGACCAAATCAAGAACCAATTAGAGAATCAGATCTTACTATGAGCACCTCCCCCTACAAATTCCAACCAAAAAACTTGTAAATTTTTAAATGCTAATAGAAGATATAAACATTTAATTCACAAATGTAATCATGTTGCATACAAAATAATGTTGCATGGTTTGAATATTTCCTCTTGCTAATTTTTTTTTATTACTGTGATAAAATACCATAAGAGAGGCAAGTTAGGCAAAGAAATTTATTTTGGTTAACATTTCCAGGGAGGCAGTAATCATCATTTTAGGTAAGACTTGACAGCAGGGAAAGAAATAACAGTGCAGGAGCAAGTATTTGGCTGGTTATATTTTCACTCTGGAAACAAAAGATTAGACTCAACATAAAGCACAATACAAAGCCTGTAGGCCTGTGCCCAATGACCCAATTTCTCCAGTTAGGTTAAACTTCTTGAAAGTCCTACATGCTCCATTAATAAAGTCATCAACTAAAGACAGAGCATCCAGGTATGAAGCTACTTGACAGTCAAACCACAGTAACCCTAAATATTCTCATATCGCCTGTACAGGTTAAATTTGAAAAACTACCAGATTGTTCTGGCAATGGTTTATGCAATTGAGGAAATCAACAGGAACCCCCATATTTTACCCAATGTGTCTCTGGGATATGATATTTATAATGTCCTATTCAATGAATGGTGGACATTAGACAGATGCATCACATGGCTGTCTGGGCTGAAGGAGTATGTGCCTAATTACACGTGTAAGA